CACGGGTTCCGGTGAGGAAGCATGTCTTGCTGCTTGTGTTTTTGCTGTGTGGCGGGGCCATCGAAGCCGAGTCTGATGGAGTGTCTCGTGGGAGCATGTTGTGGAGCTGTTCTGGCATATCTGTGCTTTGAGGCTGGCCAGCTTATGGCGCTTTGTTTGTGGCGACGTAGCGCGAAGAGCCGTTGCCCGATCCTCAGGGAAGCTCAGGGCTGAAACAATTTGAATCAATGTCTCCAGGGTGGTGTCCGTGCATAATTCTCATCTGGACCCACACTCCCTTTTGAAAGGCCTCTTACGTACAGGGGTGCATTCACCAATTTGTGGAACAGCTGCTTTCCAATCGCTTGGCTGCGGCTTTACAGAACCTGATTCATCCAACTTGAAAGCAGCTTTTCGAGTGCGGGCAGAGCACCTGTTCCCGCAATGGTTTTTACACAAACACAAGTTTCCTGCGAACGCCCCTCGCCGGTGGGTGGTGAGGAGGAGGAGACGCTTCGTCTGTGGCAGTGGGACCAGAAGTCTCCGGTTGTTGAGGCCGGTTCTTTTTTTTGCGTGTCGTGGACGCACGCGGCAAGTTGTCTTATTTGTCTTGCTTCTACGCTTGTGATTGCAAAGGTGCCAGCGCGTCATCTCCTTCAAGCCTTCCTGTGACTTCAGGGAACCCAAGCTGACCACCCAGAGACTTTAACGTTTAGGGGCTTAGGCTTAGAGATGCTTAGATTTTCAACATTGAGGGTTATAAGGTCTAGGGACAAGGATTCGGGGTTTCGGGATTACGGATTCGGAATTAGTGTTTGCGGCCTAGGGTCTAGGGTTTATAGGCATCGGGGTTTCGGTATTAAGGATCCTCAACAACTACGCCTAAAATGAGCAACGGTGGAGTCTTTGGGGATTGCAGCTGAGCGGTGGTCAGAGCCTTGTGCCAAGGACGTCAGAGGTTGGAACAGATGCTCGCTCTTTACATTCATGCTTTTGCTTCTTTCTTGTGTGTACATGCAGCTGTCGCAACGGCATCATCACACAGGACCGACCTCAAGCTCCATGCGCAACTTGCGTATGGTGCAGCGCCCTTTGAATGACGTTTGAGGTGCCTGACTCACTGCAGTTTTCTTGGTCGGAGACGGAGGACAAAGAGGATATCCGTCTATCGAGATCACACGATAGAGGAATCGTACGGGAACCCCGTTTTCGCTGGAAATGTTCTGTCCACTTCTCTACATGGCCAGTGGTAGTGGCCAGTGGCATCAAATCAGAAGGTCATAATGCATCGACCTGATCCGACCACCTGCTAAGGGAATGTGGAGTGTCGACTGTTTGATGAGTAGCCCCGCGGCAATAAGGCTTCAAGCAGGTCTACAGCGAGACCAGGATGACAACGGTAGGCAGGGAGTGCAGGGCCCTTACGCAGACTGGGACGTTGAAGGCAGACATGGCCAGTCCCGCAGTAGACTCTCAGTGGTCATCGGTGGTCCAACCAAAGCCATGGTGTGGAACTTTTTGTGGTTGAGCCACGCAGCTTGGACAGCAGTCGCTGCAGTTGTTTCCTTTCGCCCCTTGATCCGCGGTGTGGCAGAGGAATAGCGCATGTTCTGGCTACTGTGCATGCCAGCATAGCATGTAAGCCTTAATTGCAAAGACGTCTTGTATGTCGACGTAAACCCCCAGACAGCTCCGTGTTTCCAATTTGCTTAGTATTCAGGATCTGCTTCTGAAGCAGAAGATGCTCACGGCCCGCTCCTCAGCTTTGACATGTGTGCGCCTGACTCAAAGGATTGTCTTGCTACACCATCGAACCTTGCTAGCGTAGTCATGCCTAGTCTCAGTTTCCTCATGGTACTGTACTCTGTAATCTCTGGGACTTTGGGTTGACAAAAGTCAGATTAATCATCACTTGTTAGTCCCATCACCGTATTCTTGAGACTGCCTCAGGCCCCAAGTCTCATTCTTCAAGTCTTAGGGATTTAGGCTGTGCTGATCCAAAACTCCTTACGCTGCGAGCACCAACAAGAAGCCAAGCATAAAACCGTGAGTCGGATGGACAAGAATATGTGTTGTGATCATAGTTTTTTTTGTGGGTTTGTCTGAGCCCAAACCCGAATAGCTCCGTGCTTCGGACCTGTTGTCAACCTTTGCAGAGCCTTTTGGGATTTGAGGTTCGTCGAAACGGGCTTAGATTTTCATGGGCGCTGCTCAGAGGACTTTCTCGACACCTCAAAGCCAATCGATAGCTACCATCCTGCAGAGGTGTTCAGCTTCGCTCACAATGCTTTGCAACTGCGGGCTCGGTAGTCCACCGGGGGTAGTCCCAGGGGCTCTTACAGAAGTTTGGTACAATCCTCGGCTCTCAAGAGTTTGCATCAAGACCATGCGCACGATAATTTCTTCAAACCGTTGCTTAAGCGCAAACAACTTCGGTAGGTGCCGGCGCGGAGGACTCCCCGAAAACCGGCCGGAGCACTCAGTTCGGACTGTGGGTCGAGGGGTTGAGGGATGGTTGAGGTTCAACACGGACGTTCGGACATGATGGTGTCGTGAGTTCTTAAAAGGAGCCGGTTCTGCTAACATTCCTGGGGATTCCTTTGAACAAAACTTTTGTACAAATAGATCGTTGACTGATATGTTTGTTTTTTCCGGCTTCCCGCACTATTCGCACAGTTCGCCTCTTTCCTGGTTCTGCAGGCACAAAGTCAGTGATCCGTGGTAGTATATTAATGCATCTTGGCTTGTCTTACACTTTAGAGGGTAAAATATCTGTTCCTATATGATAGCTCGAAGGAGCCATGTAGAAGGCATATAGTACATCTAATATCCCTATACTCTTAACAGCCTCTAAGTTGGGCCATGAATCTTCCCAAACATATATACGTGGTGTATGTAAAGTTTGCAGGTATACAGGGCCCATTTTTATCGTAAATCCACCTTCGCATAGTAAGCCCCCGGAACTCTAGCTAGCCACAGTGCGTGGAACATGTGCCTTCAATTGTTTAACTTAAGTTCTTATATAGTACGGGTTAGAACCCTGTTTTAGAGCAAGACCTGAACCAAATGGCTACGGCTCAAGGCCGTTTGGGTTCGAGGGCTCTGAGCCCAGGTCTCCTCTCCCTTTAGGCTGGAGGTTTATCCCTCTGTCTGCTCGGGACCTGCGAAGGCACCTTCGTTGCCGGAGGGCGCTTCTCCTACTGTGCAAAGAGGTTTATCCCTCTAGCTGCTGGGGACAGCATGGCTTTGAACCCGGATGAGCGGGATACTGCTTCTCTCCGAGAGAGTAGGGCTGTTGACGGGGCCGGTGGGGATGATCTTGACGCTTTGATGGGTGATGATAAGAGGAACGATACTGAACTTTCCCAAGCCAGTACCGTCCCCTTTGGTGCTCCCGACCCAGAAGCCCCACACGTAACAGGTAATGAAGGTCTGTTACAGAACATGGCTGCTAACTCCGCTTTGACTCTCCCCCTACCTGGTAGAAGCTCGGCACCTTCCCGCATGCCTTTGAGGGAGCCTATGGGTAGTGAGAAGAACGATCCTGCTTTTCTTGCTCTTCATGCTGCCAGGGCTGCTGCGGCGGTAAGGGATGAAAGCCCTTTACACGCTGCCCAAGCAGCGCTTACTGACAAGGATCATGCAGCCGCTGCATTGCAGGCTGCCTTGGAAACGGACCCTCGTAGAATCAACAAGATGCCCCCTCCCCCCTCTGCCCGTCATGGTAGCCCTGCAGGTCTGAGGCATGCCCCATTTTTGGGGCTGAGACCCCCAAGGCTTCACCGGCCCCAACTCATCATCATATTGGTGAGGACGAGGAACCAGCCTGGCTTCACGGACTGAAAGCTTCCCTTCAAGCGGGTCAGAGGGAGATTCTTGCTAATGTTCATGAACAGCGTGCAGAGTTCAGAGAAATGGGGTCCCGTCTTGAGCGTGTTGAGGCTAAACAAGATGAGTTTGGGCAGTTTCGCGAAGATATGGCCAGGCGTATGAGGGATATGGAGTCGGAACTACGCGAGGTAAAGAGCAGGTCCGTCAGTCCTATTCATACGCCCCGCAGGGGCGGTGCGGGGGCACCTGGCTCTCGGGCAGGAGGGACAGGTCACGCACCCAGTGCGGCCGGGTCCTCAGTGGCCGGTCCCCTTGTGGACGACTGGCAATTAGTCCTGGGCGGCTATGCTGACGCCAAGCGGGAAGACATCCAGGCCGAAGTACGGGCCCTTTTCGAGGAGGCCAGTGCCACACCCCTACTGCGTAACATCATCACCCCTTTTGTCCGTTCTGACATCTGTAGGATTGAGCTGCTTTATCTGGACGAGGGTTTCGGTGCTCGTAGAGGTGTCCAACAAGCCGTGATCGTTGCGCTACGCAAGGCTATTGAGGTCCGGGGGCGTCATTCTACTATTGTAGGCCAGGAAAGGGCTTCACTGTGGGTCTCGCGAAACCGGGGGCCCGAAGAACGGAATCGGAACCGAGCACTGCTGGGACTCCGGGACTTGGGCCACGCCCACCTCCCGCCCCAGCTCGTCGACCTCGACTGGAAGGGGCGATTGTGGTATAACGGCACTCAGGTGCTCCATCATGTCGATCGCGATGAACCCACGGATGATGCCCTCATGTTCTTGTCGACGCGGGGTGACGAGAGCGGATGGTGGGTTTCTTTACGCAAGGTTTCGTCCCTGCTTCAGGTCAGCGAAGATGAAGTTCGGAGACGCCTTGTGGGCTAGGGAATAGGGCAGAGCCCCCAACCCTCTATACCAGCAACGGCCAGTAATTCGATTGCTTGCACGTGTTCCACGTGGAATCTTCACGGAAAACCCGTTTCGAGCCTCTCACCTCTTTTTCACAATCTTGCAGATGCACCTGAGATCTTTTGCATGCAGGAGGTTGGGGGCTTCAGCCATTTGCAGGCCGGCCAAACGGCCACCCTCGACCTTTCCATCGGCGATTCCGAATACGTTGTTTATGTCCATAATACTACTAAGGCCCATCTCGCAACTGCGGTTGCCGTGCAGGCGGCTATGGAACCGTCTCGGCCCAAGTTTACTGCTCTGTCGGCTGGTTTCTTGGTTGAACTGTTTTTGGGCTCCTCCCACTTTCTTTTGGGCTCCTTACACTTGCCATATCAACAGAGGAATGATGCCACTGAAGTTTGGCTGGACACTTTCGAAAGTTTCACTCTCGCACTGTCTTCCTTGCCTCCTTGCTGCACTGTTTTTGTTGGGGCTGACCTCAACCAACCTCTTTATGTCGATGTGGACTCCTTTCCTCCCGTTGCGCAACTCAGACTTCTCGCTGCTCGTTTTATGTTGCGCTTCTCGGATGATGTGGGGGCCACCTGGCACGCACGGGGACTGGAAGCCCCCATTGATTTCATCCTTTTCCGTCACCCCGGTATGCTGGGGACCACCACCAAGCGTGACGATCTCAGACTCGCTTTACCCTCGGATCATGACATGATTCAGGTGCACTTCTCGTTTTGTCGTAAAGCCCAGGGGAGAGTACGCTCTTCCTCCAACTGTGGTAGGTGGTGCTTTTCTCCGGAGAAGTGGGCGGCACAATTTGAGGCGCTGCCCGAGGACCATTCTGTCGAAGATCTGGGGCGGGCATTTGCTGAGGTCCGTTACCGCCAGCTTTCACTGAGGTATCGGGATTCTGAGGATCTTAAGGAGCTCATCAGACAACGCAAGGTGGCCTCAGACCCTGTGCTTAGGGCCTCCCTGGCGTTGGAGATCACTCAACAAAGGTGCCTGGACCAGGAGACTCACCGCAAATCCATCCTGGAACGGGCTCGCTCGGGCGATTTTGCGGCCATCTCCTACCTGAGACGGAGTGCGTCTCAAACCAAGGTCGCTGGTTCCTATATCCAGGCTCAAGGCGGCCTTGAGAAGGCCGCCGCAGAACTGCAGGATTTCTATCACCTGAAGTATGATTCCGGGGGAGTCGGTGCGGATCCGGGTAAAGTCGCGGCCGTGCGGAACCGCCATGCTGATGTGCCTTGTACTCCCTTCACCATGAAGGAGCTTGTGCAGGCTGCTGGTAAAATTAAGAAGGGGACATCCTCTGGGGATGACGGTATCCCTTATGAGGCTATCTACGCCTATGCGGTTTCGGACCATGGGCACAAACTTCTTGACCTCTTCAATCGCTTCCTTTCCGGGACTCTTCCTCTGCCCAGCTCGTGGCGGGAGGGAAATATTGTCCTCCTCCCTAAGATTCCCCAGCCCAAAGGGCCCTCTGATCTCCGGCCTATTGCTCTGACGTCCTGTCTGGCTAAGGTGTATTCGCGCCTCCTCCTTAACCGTCTTGAGGACCGCTTTCCTCCTTTCGACGCCGGACAATTCGGTGCTCGTAAAGGAGTGCAGACGGTAGATGGAGTGGCGGCAGCGCACATGACCATGCGCCTGGCAGTTTCCCGCTACCGGCTTAGACCTGTCATTGCGAAACTGGACGTGAAAGCAGCTTTTGATAGTCTGAGCTTTGACGCTGTTCTAGAGTTTCTTCGACACACGCAGCCAGCACGAGAGGCGTGGCTCCTGTGGGAGCTCTGCGCTGGATGCCAAGTGAATATGAAATTAGGTGCTAAGGCCTGGTCTGTGCCCCTCAAGCAAGGACTTTTGCAGGGAACTGCATATAGTGCGGTCCTTTTCGGAAGGGTACTCGATTGGTTCTTGGCCCCTTGATACGCACCTGGGAACAGCGTTGGCCAGATTGGCGTTTGCCCTTCCTCCTGCTTTATGCTGATGATGTCCTCTTGCTTGCGCCTTCTGCTGCTAGGCTGCAAACGATGACACAGGAGGTTGTCAACCTGATGGCCGCTTTAAACTTGCGAGTGAATGTGGCTAAATGCTCTGTGCTTGACACGGAAGAGGGGGTTGGCCACGGCATTTTTCTCCGCGGTCATTGCGCGCCCCTGAAAACGGAGTCATCTCTTTTGTACCTGGGTGTACCACTACAGTTTGATTTTACTCCCATGACATGCTTTGGCCGGGCCCTGAGCAGATGCTCTAACACCTTCTTCGCCATGCGGAACCTTGTTAATTCAAGGTTTCTGCCCGCCATCAAGAAGATTCAGCTTTTCGACCTGTATGTGACGTCGCGCTGGCTCTGGTGCAGTGGCCTGATATGGCCCACTAAGGTCTCCCTGAGAAGTCTGAATTGTCACCAAACGACCTTGCTGCTAGGACTCCTAGGGTTCAGGGCTGATTTCTTTGGAGAGTTCCTGCATAATGTTGTGGCCAAAAGACGCGCTGTCAAATACGTTCTTCACGCGCTCAAGCTTGAGTCATGGGATCAGAAATGGCTCAAGCAAGTCTGGCGCTACTGGGGTCATGCTGCCAGGAACGCAGTTTCCACGCCTCTCAGGTTTCTGATGCATGAGTACGGAAACATTGGACTTATGGCAGGCAGGGCTGCGCCAGGATGGGTCACGAAAATCATCCCCCGCAAGCTTCAGCTTGTTTTTGCGGAACTGCGAGATCCCTGTCACCCGGCCCTGTGGGAATCTGCGGCTCTCGACCGCCCCTTGTGGCAGAAGTTGCTGATTCATGGCGTGAGCACTGGGGAAAGGGCCCCCCCTCAACTGACTTCCTGGGGAGACAACTCCTCATCGTTGATGACTCCGAGGCGATACTGAGGCCTTTCCGCTTCTTTCCGGAGGAGGCCTATCCTTCATCTGTGTGCACTATTAAGGGGGTTAAATCGCTTCCCCGAGGACCGCTTCTTTGGTGCTCCTTGGATTCGGTGGGGGTGTCGGTTGTTGTGGTTTCCAGTTCTAGGTCTCCGGCTTCGTCCCTCGTTGTCCAGGAGCAACACCCCCCCGGCTCAGTGACTGCTCTCTCAAGGGCACTACACCTTTGGTACCTTGTTGGCCTGACCCATAAAATCAGTAGAGTGGATATGGATGTCCAGCTCGTCGTGCCCCCGGAATGTGTCAACAGCGGACTGCTTAGTGGAGAGGTCACTTTGCCTACCAAGGCCTGGCATGCTGCTTTTGAAAGTCAGGATATGCGCTTCGATCTTTTGCAACGTTCAGTCATTTGGAAAGGGTCGGATAAGCTCCCTGATTTCCTCCGATCTCTTCCTATCGGCCCGTTTCCAGGGTCGTTCACGTCACTGGTGAGAGACGGAGACTTCGGGTCACCTGGCTTTCTGCACAGAAGATCAGTCTAAGTTCCGCTCTGAGGCTTCCTTGCTGATTTTGGAAGATGGGGGGGGAGGGGGGGGGGGGCAGGACGACCCATTTATTTGCGGCAGTCACTCGGCTCTCAGGGAAACTGTCGGCAAATAGAGCTGAGCAAACCTTCCCAGGAGTCATGTCTTTTGAATGTCTCGCTCCTCCTCCTCCTTTACCTCTGGACCTCTGTGATTCTCCACGGGGCGAGGATGGTGATGATGCGGTTATCTGTCTGTCGTCTCAACCTGGTCTTGCTGTTTTGGTTGACAGTGACTCTGAGGATTTGGAGTGCAGGACCCCTGTAGCTAGAGACTCAGATCCGAGGTACCTGCAGCACCATTTGCACATGCTGACTACCGACAGAAGAGATCGCCCCGTTGAAGCCAAAGCCTTCCACCTCCTCAGGCGCCAAGAACCCCCTTGTAAATTGGACATCCTTGCGCTTTTCGACCTCTTGCCTAGAAGTGCATTGAAGCGTCATCCACATGGTCGTTTCGTAGTTACGGGCGCTTCTCCGCGAAGTCGAGATGACCTCGTATCTTTCTGTCATCGCATGCCCCTATTTACACTTGTCCTGAACCGCCTCCTGAGGGCCCATGCACCTGAAGCAAGATACTCTACCCTCGTGCTCCGAGAAGGCTGTGCGTCTGCCCCGCACCGAGATGTTCGTAACGGGCCTACGAACGCGTGTATCTTCGGGTTGTCTACTTCTGGAGTTCGGGATGGTATTTGGGTTCATCGGCAGGATGGCGATGTTTGGAAACCCTTTAGAGGTCAGATGTTGCCTGGGAAGGTCTTTTCCATTGACACTCCCTTTTTCCTTAATACACGTAAGGAGCTTCATGCTGGCCATTGCAACACCAGCGCTACTTCTCGTGGTAGGTCTAGGGTTATCCTTGTGGCTTTCTGTACGAATCATGTTTCCACCTTCCCGCGGGATTTTTCGGAACAGCTTTTGGATCTTGGGTTTCCCCTGCCTACCCCAGATGAAATCCTGAAGTCCTCGTCACAAGGAGTATCTTGCCTTGCACCTAGGCATCGACAACTCAGGCTTTCCGAGGCGTTTGCAGATGGCAGGCATGCGACCGCAATGAGGTCTCTGGTCGATCTATCTGCTCCTCTCCTTGTTGATGATGAGGACGAGGTCATGCATAATAATGAGGTGATGGATACCTTGCTCGATGACTCTGCAGTCCTCCCTTGACCGAGTGCACTGTCTCTTTTTCCTTTCCTTGTTCTGGTCCGTGTGCAAAACACTTGACCTGCACTGCTTTTTCCTCCTTCTCTTTCTTACCCTGTTCCCTTGCTGCTGTCCTGGCCTGTCTTGCTCTGACTGACTCCTGGGACTAACTGACTTTTCATAGGTCATTATCACTTCCTTTCTTGATTTGCGAGTTTTCCTTGGCGCCTATGGGCTTACGCCTCTATGTTTCAGATCCCGAGCTGCCATGCCCCACACGCGCGCCGTCCTGTCAGCGGACTAGACCGCTTTCTGCTTGATGGAGCCCTGGTCATACCTGAATCTTCTGGATGATGCTTGGGGAATCAGCAGTGGGTGGCTCGTGCTGATGACTGTGCTACTTTGCACGGGGATTGCTCGGCTGGCGGCCGCCTTGTGGACGTGTCTCGCAGACATCTGCCGGGGCCTCTTCACACTCTCTGAGTTGGTTTCAGACTTGGGGGCGAAGCTGGAAAGCTGGCACTCCACCCATACTGCAAATTTTGCAAGCCTGGAGGCCAACATCGTCGCGCTCCTCCAAGATCACAGTAGAGCTGTTGTGTGTGAACCGCATGGTTTCCTACAGCCCTTACTACTGGAAAACTGGAACCGCATTCGGCTGGACATTCTCCAGCAGATTCGTCTCCTGGGCCTGGAGCTCCAGGACATGCGGGAGATCATGGCGGACCTTATCAAGGTTCAGGCGCTGATACGGAAATCCCTCATCCCCGTCACCACGGACACTCCTGTGACATTCGTGAGATCAATGGACATCTGTCCATGATCAGGGAGGGCATCGAAATGGACACACAGGGCCTACTCGGGGCTGTACATGGCATGGAAGAACGTCTTCAACGAGTTCGTCAAGAGCTCCGCAGCCAGTCAACTCTGCACCCACAGTTTCAGTCAGAGGTGATGATGCAGCTGTCTGTTATCCGCGCACAGCTCGCTACGGGTACACAGCCGGATACATCGCTGCCTGGGCCACCTCCACCATGGGCGTGACTGCTCCTCTTATACACCTGTTTTCAGGGCTGCTTTGTCCACTCCTTGTATCATAGCTGGCACTAGCACCTTTCTGTTTTTGGGCACCGCCCACCCTTGCACTCTCCTTGCTCGCTGCAAAAATCGAGAGACCTTTCCTGCGGCAGTTGAGGCCTCTTATTAAACAAGTGCAAACACGAGCGCATGAGCTCCTGGCTTGAGTCTGCTTCAGATCTTCAGTTTCTGCTTTGTGGAGTCACTTTCGAGTTTGCTTCAGATCTTCAGGTTCTGCTTTGTGGGGAGTTATTGATTGGGCCACGGAGTTCCGGTTCCTTTGGCTGTGCTTCTGTTTGGTTCGGTTTGGTTTCCTTATAAGGCACGAGGTGGTTGAATACTGGTTCTTAAGACTGTTCTTTCGTGTCAGCGTATGGCTCTTGCCCGCACCAGCGCAGGAACCATGCAAGACTCCTGGGAGTTGGACATAGTTCAACCCCCCCATCTCCTGCCCTTTCTTCCCTTCACTATGGAAGAACTGGCTGGGAGACTTAACGAGATGCCAGCCTGGGTTGCATACTGGGTTGCATACTGGGTTGCCGGTGAAATTCGTTTTTGGATCCGTGGTTGTAGGTTATCTTGGTGGTGGTTTTATACTCGCTTACTTCCGCTTCAGGTATATTTGGAAAGCCTTGATCGGGTTGCATCCCTTTACCCTGCCCTCAGGCCTGATGTTGCTCTTGAATCTTTCTGTTCTGGGGATGAAGTTTATGCTTTTCAACAAGAAGTCATGGAATGGACCGGGCGTATTGACTGCACTGCTGAAGCTATTGTTTGGGAGAACACAGGTATGCACCTTCCATGCTGGGTCCTTGTTTTAGGTCCCTCTCCTATTGAGGGTTTGTATGATTAGTCCCTTGCTTGTCCTGTGCTGCCTTGCCTTGCCGCTGCCCTTGCCTCCTGCATGCACTGTTTTGTATTTTTTCCGGGTGTCTAGGATTCCTCGCCCCTTTTTATTTCGACATATTTTAGTTGTTTTAACACACTGAAGCCCGGCCTCTTAGAACCCGAGTCACTTTCGGTAGCTCCATGGCTGCACTTATGGCCCTCGCCTTGGACGGTGACTTGGCTCGGCTTGTGCTGCTAATGCCTGCCGCAGTCAACGGCGCTGACCCTGCCGGCGCCTTTCATATCGCACCGGCCCTATTCCGTCTGCTACACACTGTCATCTGTGAGTGCCTGTATCGGCCTTATTTTCTGCCTGTCGGACACTAGTATCCTGCAGAACGCCTGTTCTGCTCCTGGATGTGCGGCCCCTGGTGAAGTCGGTACCTTGGTGGCTGAAGGAATATTATGGCTGCAACCCTGGTTGTCTTGCTGGGAGACTATGGGACTGGGCCCACTCGCTTCGGCCCGCCTTAAGACGGGGACTACGGCACCCAGGGTGTACCCTGCGGGAAGACACACAGGTTCTTCCTCCAGTTCGTATAGTTGAGAAGGGTCTTGATCGGCCCCTCTTGTGGGCTTAACTCTTCATGTGACTGAGCCTGACCTTTTGAAATGAAATATTGGGACGCACAGAGATTGGGTTGGAGGTTTGTTCGCTTACTTTCTTGCTTCGGATTTGAGTCCTGTCTTTGAGATTCGAGGGTCCTGCATTTGGTATTTGGGCTTGCCTTTGCTAGGGTCTGACTTTGCCTTTCGGAAGGGTTTTCTTTTTGGAGGGCTTGCTCTGCAGGTTTTCAGTTGCATGTCCACGAGCCATGATTTGCTGCGATCTACGGTGCCTAACGACCCCTTCCAGTTCCGCAACATGTCAGCTGCCTGTGCCACAGATTGGACCTCTCGAGTCTTGCTTCCCTGCAACAGCTACTTCTAGGTTCCTCGGTGCTGCCATGGACGTGAAAAGGGACACCATCGGTGCCTTCGTGGATGCACAAGGGACGGCCTCTTCACCGGATGGAGTGCCTCTCCGCTCCACTGTACATGTTGTGGAGGCAACGCGGCATTCCCCGATGCCTTCGGAAGTGTCTCCGCCTCTTTCGGCGATGTGGGAGAGCGGGGCTTGGATCGCAAGCCCCAGTGGTGGACTATCATGGGTCCTTCTGGCCTGCTTTGTGCTTTACAATTGCTGCCAGCTTCTTCGCCACCTCCGCAAAGGCATGCCGGATGTGGAGGCACCCAAGAAGGCGGTGACGGCACCTGATGTCTCGCCACCGCCACCAAGCATGGGGACACTTGAGGCGGACCCTGGACCCTCGCAGGACAATGAGAAGAAGCCCGCTGATAACAAGGATGCTGGGCCAGGAACCCAGGTCGGGCCCTCCGAAGACCTGGCTCCTCCCTCACTTCCTTCCCCACCGTCGCCGAAGGATGATGGCGCCATGGACTCTGCAGCAAAGTCCCAAGAGCTTACCGCGGTTGAGGTGGAAGCTCTACGGGAACTCAAGCAGAGCCTTCAGGATGTCAAGATGTGGGTCGAAGACTCGGCACACGCTGCTGCCTCGAGGACCAAGGAGCACCTTGCTGCCACTTTGCAGGAGCTCCAACGTGTTCTCGACGATAGCATCTACTCGCAGCCCCGCCTGGAAGCAGCAATGCCAGATGCCTTTGAGCCCCTGCAAGCCAAGCTGATGCCCTCACTTCACGGCATCAAAAGTACGTTGGGGCCCTACCCTGAGCACGGAGCGGATATCCGCGCCCTCAGGGAGGTCATCCTGGCCACCGAAGACTTCGCCACTCGGGCCCTCAAAGCAGTTGAAGATACGGCTTGGGATCAGAATGGCCGCCTCAATGCACTGGGCACCCAGGTTGGCACAATTGGGACGGACATCAGCAAGGGGCTCCAGCACGCGCACCGCAAGCTGGACTCGATACACCAAGCCTTGGGCAATCGCCCTGGCAACAGCTCAGATGGAGGTGGCAACACTTTGGTTTCGGTGAAAGACCTCATGGCGGAGATGAAGGCCTTAAACCAAAATATGGAGGCCTTGAACCAAAACATGGAGCAGCTGCAGACGAAGGTGCAGTACGTGGAGGGGCGAATGGAGACGGCCCTCACGAAGCTTGTCGTCGTGGAGCAGTCCACGAACAGGCTGGCAGCGGCGAGACCCAAGGCGCCGCCTCCCAGCTCGGCCTTGCCGTCGGAGGAAGCACCGCTTCCGCCACCGACGCAGCCGCCAGGACAATGGCAGCCCCCCTCGACGGGGCCCTCGACGACTACCCCTGCCCGCACACCTTCGATTCCTGCACCGACGATGCGCTTGGCACCGCAGGTACAACTACTACAACCGGGCTTGCCTGGGGTACAGGCCCATGGAGGGCTGCCGATGACTCAGATTGCACAGCCTGTGCAGCAACCTGTACAGCAGCAGACGAACGAGATGGTGAACCTGGTCTGGAATGGGCAGGTATTCCCGGTACCAGCAGCTGCTGTACAACACAACCAGTGAAGGGCTCGATCTGAATACCTCTCGCCGCCTAGCGCTGTAAAGTCTGGATCATTGTGAATACTTGGTTGCAGTTTTGACAGTGAAGTCTCGTTCTGGGCTTTTGCCTGCACTAGCTTTTAATTACTTTCTCAGCCTGTTCGGGTCTTAGTCTTATCCTGTTCTGTTCTCGAGTTCGCTGTCGAAACCCTCGGTGCTCACACTTTCCCTTCCGCCTTGTACAGGCCGTACTGCTTTTTCACCTGCACTGCTTTTTCTGCGCCTCCTTGCGCCTTGCACTGTTTTTTGCACTGCCTTTCCTTGCTGCCCCTCCTTGCACTGCTTTGCCTTGCCTTGCTTGTACATTATTTTACCCCTCCTGCCTGCTTGGACCTCGCAGGGGTCTGTCACATGATAGCTGAGGCCATTAAGAGCCTTCGCAGGAGGTCAGTGAACTCACTTTCTTTTTCAGGCGGGGCCTGACGAGAGCCTGAGTTCCCGCGCACACAAGTCCACATACAAGTGCTTTACCTCGGGACTCATGAAGCCCGCAAAATGAAGCTGAGTACGACTGGGATCGCTGTCAGGCTTGTGATGATGCTGTTCGTGGGTGATGCTGCGGGGATGATCTTTTGAATGTGGTTTGCCCCTGCCTTTATGGGTGGATGTTGCTGCGAACCCGGGATGATGGTGCGTGGGTGATGGTGAACCTGCTGGCCCCCCCCCTCTCCTTGAGGAGCAGCTGCAAGGTATATCCCTTGCGTATGACACGGCTGTGCAGTTGCGGGGTTTACTCCCCGGAGAAAATCACACAACGTGGGACGAGCGTGCCCCTGCAAATGCTGCAGGATCGTTGCTGTAGGGACTACGAGCCATGGAATGCCTCCTGGATGACCGGCTCTGCCTCTGAAATTTTTCACGACTGGTTTTTCACAGCTGGCTTTCAAGACAAACAGGGGCGAAGCATCGCATGACAGTCTGCACACATGGCTGAATGTTCACCGATGCTGGTTTGGATGCCCCCTCTGGCCTCCTATACTGCGATTACTTCCTGCTGACTGAGCTTCATGCCACGAGGGCAGTCCTGGCGCTTCCTGCTGACTGAGCTCCTTGCCACGGGGGCAGTCCTGGCGACCTATGGTGTTGTGCTGGATGGTTCTGGGAAGAAACTGACGGGTGCATGGCTCTGGATGCAACTGCTGGATGTTTTCGTCAGGAATCCTGGTGTTTTTGCGCAGTGTCGAATCCCAGTGGGGGTACATCGTGTGAGATCATTTTGCCTACCTTGCCATAACGGTCCTGCAAGATGACTACTCTATGCTGACTGTAAAACATTCTGGTTTTGGGGCGAACGGATACCTACGGGGTCGGCAATGAAGCTCGCTGACATGTTGCGAGGGATCTTATTCGAGGACTCTTATGCCGGCTTCTATGTATGAACTGTAAGGAGGCTTCTCTCGGCTGGCATGGCTGTCATGGGGAGCATTCTGGCTCTTGTGTGTGCTGGTATTGCAGTGCCTGTAGTGATGCCTGGACACATGGCTTGCCTCTGTTGTTTGCGTCTTGGTACGCCAGATGAGTGAGCTGCCTGCCAATTGTCGCTGACTTGTTGCTGATTGCTGCAGCATGCGAGTGGCAGCTTGAGGAGTGGTAAACGCCGAGACTTGTGTTATTCGTGAATCGTCGATCTGATAATGTCTGGCGCCCGTTCCAATGTGAACTGGGCATGTCGCCCAAGTGGTCTGTGAAGCCTGTCAAAACCCTCGTCTGACTTGTCGAGCACGAGTGACAAAAAGACCTGAACCCATACTCACCATCATCGAATCTATCATGTGCATCATCCCACATCTGCGCGGTCTCGATGGTGGAGACGGAGTGGCCTGTCCAAGAAGGCAGGAAAACCGAGTTCTTGTTGAGCGCGTATGTTTCACAGGCTGTCCTGTTGCATAAGTGCATGGGCTGATGAACTTGTTGTGCATGTTGGCTCCAGGCAGCCAGACAATATATGGTTTATCATGTGGCCAACTGGGCTAGGCATATGTGCATGCATATATGTCTAGTTTCGCTGCTGGAGCTTTCTAGCAGCATGGTCGGTGAAACTGTGCTCGCCAAAGCATGGGAAGAGCAGCCAGATCTTCGCCGTCGTTTGCCAAGGTTAACTCTTGCTACCGGCTGCATTTAGCCAGTGGCAAGTGCACATATCTTTTCAATGCAGAACGATAATTGCGAGGTTGAAGGTGTTGGGCAGCCAGTCACACGTGAATCTTTACGAGCTAACCGTAAACTGGTGACGATGGCAGTGCAGCACCTGGGCAATCGAGTATCGGTGGATGTATGTGCAATGCACATTCAGTCGTGCTACGGCATCCCAGAGATACCGATCTCAGGACCAGCGGAAGAGAGAGCGCGAGAGACAGAGTGTGTGTTTGTGCGTGTGAGGGAGAGAAGGACAGAGAGTGAGAGTGAGAGAGAGAGAGAGAGAGAGAGAGAGAGAGAGAGAGAGAGAGAGAGAGAGAGAGAGAGAGAGAGAGAGAGAGAGAGAGAGAGAGAGAGAGAGAGAGAGAGAGGGAGAGGGAGGAGTGAGTCAGAAAGTGTGCGAGTGAGCCAGTGAGTGAGTGAGTGAGTGAGCGAGCAAGTGAATGAATATAGAGAGTGAGAGTGGGTATGTAACGGTGCGATAGTGTGAAAGAGCAAAAACAGTCAGAGTGAGGGATAGCGAGAGTGTGAGACAAGATGAATAAGAAGACCAGGAGATACAGAGAGGTGCATGTGTGTGTGTGGGGGGGTTGAGGGCAACCCTTACACCTGAAGTAGTTGAGCTTAGCTAGCAATATCTATATCTTTTATCTATACTGTCTATATGTATATATGTGCACATGTACATGTATTTATATATATATATGCATATATGCATATAAGTGTGTGTACGATATATATAAATATTTGTTCTAGCTGACCTGGACTCCAGGAGCCGCCTGTCATGAACAGGGTTGGCGTCTGCGAAGAATGATCTCGGTATTCAACTTGGCATGCCGCCGCCCTCACCTACCCCGCGAACAGTTCCTCCGAGACATGATGAGTGACCTGAACATCCAGATTCAGTTCAAGACAGAGCACCCAGACCCCGAGGGCCCTATGACGGACGAGGATGATGCCGTTTCCGATGAGGACCCAGAGGAGGAAGCTGCTACCGATGATGAGTGTGTTGGCGAGAAGGTGAGGGTAGCTTTTGCACATATGTACATGCATATCTGCCCACGGGAGAGGCTGACGATGGTTTGGTGTCCCCAGCCGTTCTGGAATCGGTACTGGAGGCCTTAGCCTTATAATCCCGATAAACCCTGTCGATCCTGCAGCCCGCAGCCCGCCTGCTCAGGCTTCTCGTGCTGACGCCGAGCGAGCAGCACCTGCAGAGGCAAATGTAGGATAGGTCACGCAGCAGCTGTTAAAGCTACAACGGTACGTCAAGGCTGTGAAGAGCTGCGCTGCTGAGTGCAGTGATGTGGTGCCAGCAGAGGCATGTTCCAATTCATGCTGCATTCGGCTGGTGACTAGGAGGGTATATTAACCTCTCCATGCACACTTGTGCACAGGATGCAAGCCTGGCAGTCGTGACATCGCAACAGCTGCACCCAGCCAGCAATCCCACCATACAGACACCAACGACTGGTAACCAAGGGCAAGCACATACCACGCAACAAGAAGTCCCAGGTGAGCCCGGCAGGACCACTGAGAGTACACACCCCAAAGCCGCCAAGAAACCGTCCCATCTCAAGCAGCTGAAAGATGTGCTGGCAGCGTCAGCTGCTGAGAAGCGAGCACAGAAAGCCGCGCAAGCCCAAGTTCCGGCTGAGATGGAAGCTTCGAAGGCTAAGCCGTCTGGCAAAGGTGAGGGCTCCGACGTGACACTGCATGCACCTGTGAAACCACGAGGACGTGGCCGCCCAAGGTCCGACGGGAAGGTTATGAGCAAGCCAGCCGAGTGTGACAGCAACCAGCAGCCAGCCAATTCAGCCAATGCCCAGACCTCGAAACAGGGTAGCAAAGGCAAGGGCAAGGAAAGCAAGCAAGCAAAGGACCAAGGAAGCACAAAGGACAAATTGGAGCGACCAGCATGCTGGGGAACAGTAGGCTTTGTGTCCCCAGAGGAGCAGGGCAGTGCAGACAAGGAGGATGACGATGCTGACAATGAAGGTGCATGCCCGGAGCCCAAAAAGAACGGTCGCAAGGCTTCGGCTAAGTCGGCAGCAGCAAAGAGCAAGCCTGCAACAGCAAAGGCGACACCAAAGGGGAAAGCAAAAGCCAAGGCTAAGGGGACCAAGACCAGGACCAGTGTTGAAGATGGCCCTCCCAAGGAGAGTGAGACAGCAGCAGCACCACCCCCACCAGCAGCAGCAGCCGGAAAGCCCACACGTAAGCGCAAAGCCGAGCCAACACCAGCGGATGAGCCCGCGAAGACCAAGTCAAAGTCGTCCCGAGTGCCACCGGAGGTTCCAGCAGAGGCCCGAGCATCCAGGAAGCGAGGGAAGCAACAGGAAGCATCCGAAGCCCCCGAAGCAGAGCCACCAGCAGGCAAGCCCAAGCCCAAGCAGAAGCTATCAGATGAAAGCAAGAAGCGAAAAAGCAGAAAGTCCTGTGCCTACCATAAGAGGTACTATGAGCTTCTAGGACTGGGCTGGGAAGACGAGGAAGCAAAGGAAGGAGCCAGAGAGGTCGCTTTTCATCACATGGATAGAGTATGTGCTGTGTATTAAATTAAACATGCATGTGCTGTCGTGTTTGCAGGCCTACAAGTTGCAAAGCTGAACAAGGTTCCGGTCATGAGTCAAAGCGGCTAGCTTTTTGCAGTCTGCGGTGCATATCGGTTTCAAAGTGCATATGCTCTGGCTTGCCGTAGGTTTTATTTACGATATTCACACGGGAGAACCTGTGTGCCGAATTATTTTGCAGTTGTTAGCCTACCCTGTGCTGGCAGCATCCAAAAGGTTGCTACCCAGTCGGGTATGTCAGCGGGATGAACCTGT